TTTTTTTTTTTTTTTTTTTTTTGCGTAGGGCCACGTGTTCCGCAGTCCGCGCATCAATTCCGTTTTTCCGAAAAGCGCGGGAGCGGCCCATTTTCGCGTTTATCGCGAATTCAACGGGATTCTTTTGAATTTAACGGGATTCAGCGGGAGTTTAATTCCCTCATTCTCTGTTAAAAAGACACACAGGTTTCAACTACGTAAATTACTAATTATAATAAGCACCCCACTCTAATAAGGTAACCCATACTACGCATTACTGCAACAAATAGAATGCAATGAACATGACTACAAATGAACGTATTGAAACATTAACTCACATAAAGATATGGCGCGTTGTCATGTGCAGCGCAAACGACAATGGAGGGTAACCGGAGGTGCAAAAAAGGATGGACAGTTCACTTGGCAACAACGAATTTGACGAGAGAGAGATGTCGGCCCTCATGCGTTTGCGAGTGAAACTTGGGGATAGCGACGTCATAGCAAGTTCATTCAACGAAGACACAAAAGAAGAATTAACGATGACAGTCCGAGATTTTAGCTTGCTAGTGATAGAAAAAAAGTGGATGAACGACTAGATAGTGAATTTTTATCTTAACCTTGTCCGACTGGACAATGAGTGTCGTGTGAAACACCATAATTGCAATTCGAAGAACGAAAACGTCGTTAGAATAGGGAAGGGGCGCATTCCTCCAATAGCAGTTTTAAGCTCGTTGTTTTTCGCAAAACTATTTGATAGCGATATGAAGTTCGATTACGATCGTGTTCGTTTATGGTTCACAGAGGTTGTGATTAGCGACATGGATTTTATCATTGTACCTTATCACGTCGCGCAAAACCAACATTACACACTTGTAGTGGCAGACCTCAGGCGTGTGAAAATTGAGTACTACGATTCGCTGACGCCGGATGTAGAACTCGCGGCGAAGGTGACAGGGGGGTTCGCCAAATATCTGTACATGAGGTCGGTCGAACAAGGTCAAGAAATTGACACTAAAAACTTCAACCACATATGGGAAGTGGAAGGCATTCCAAAGAAGCGCGACTTCAACGAATGCGGTGTGTTTATGCTGACATATGCATCACTATTGGCGAGAGGGTTTCTCCACCTTTCACATTCACATCAGATGACACAAAGAAAATACGATGCCGGATAGCTTTCGACGTAGCTATTGTGGAGTAGACGATTTTGTTTCATTTTCAGTATAGATGTTCAAACACATGAAATGGACATGTACTGATCGAGAATTAGATCTGATAAAGATGGGGAAGAGTTTGTAAGTGTAACGAGGATTAATTATGCGGTTAACGATGAATATAACTGGTCATGCAATAAAGACATCTTATGAAAGGTCATCTTATCTCTTATATTCGAGGCTCCTCTAGTCCTTACCTCTCACCCCTCACCCCTTACCCCTTGCCCTTTACCCCTCAACCCCCCTGCCCTTACCCCTTACCCCTTACCCCTTACCCCTTACCTCTTACCCCTTTACCCCCCCCTTAACCCTTACCCCCTACCCCTTACCCCCATTTCGTATCACAAATATTTTACAAATGAAGAAAAATACGACAAAATATGTGAGTTTCAATTTCGTTCAAAAAATAAAAAATGTCCGTTTTGACGAAATCGTAGTTCTATCCCATTAGCCACTCCAAGCACCTACCCACCGAGTCACTCCAAGCACCTTTACCGATTGACCCACTCCAAGCACCTATATCGACCAAGCCACTCCAAGCACATGTACCGACCGAGTCATTCCAAACACCTGCTGGCCGCGCCACTCGAAGCACCTACCGACCGAGCCACTCCAAGCACCTCCCCAACGAGCCACTCCAAGTTCTTACCGATCGAGCCACTCCATCACCTATACCGATTGGGCCATTCTGAGCACCTACCCACCAATTCATTCGAAGCACCTACCGACTGAGCCACTCCGAGCATCTACTGGCCGATTCACTCCAAGCACCTACCAACTGAGGCTCTCGAAACAACTTAAAAAAAAATATATATATATATATATATTCCTCAGTATATATATTCGAAAAAAAAAAACATTCACATGCACTTTTTAGCGGGCCAGTGCGGGTTTGGTGTGTGGTTTAGTGGGCCGGTGCGGGTTTGGTGTGTGGGGAAGCAAGATATAGATCCAAGTGCAACAGGAAGCTCGCCGCCTAGCCTGGTAAAAAAAAAAAAAAAGAAGAATACTCTTGACTCTTCGTTAGCCAAAAAATAAAATTCATGCACACTTCTTAGCCGTCGCAATGCGCGTTTTGAGTGTGGTGAAGCATGGTGTGGATCCACGCCCGAAATGAGGTGGGGGGGTGCGAGGGGGGGGGGGGGGGAAGCCCCCCTTCCCCGCAACTTGAAAAAAAAAAAAACAGATATTCATCAGTATATATATTGGGAAAAAAAAAAACATTCACATGCACTTCTTAGCGGGCCGGTGCGGGTTTGGTGTGTGGTGAAGCAAGATATGTATCCAAGTGCAATGGGAAGCTCGCCGCGTAGCCTGTGAAAAACAAGAATAATACTCTTGACGATTGGTTAGTAAAAAAATAAAATTCATGCGCACTTCCTTGCTGCTGCAGTGTGCATTTTGAGTGTGGTGAAGCATGGTGTGGATCCACGTCCGAAATGGGGGGGGGGGGTGCGGCCGCCAACATTCACATGCACTTCTTAGCGGGCCGGTGCGGGTTTGGTGTGTGGTGAAGCAAGATATGGATCCAAGTTTAACAGGAAGCCCGTCGCCTAGCCTGTTACAAAAACGAAAAAAGAATAATACTCTTGACTATTCGTTAGCAAAAAAATAAAATTCATGCGCACTTCTTAGCTGCCGCAGTGCGCGTTTTGAGTGTGGTGAAGCATGGTGTGAGCCTAAGTTTTTTTTTGTTGGGCCTAAGTTTTTTTTTTTGGCAGTTTGTTTGGGCCTACAATTTTTTTTTTTTGCGGGCATTGCCCGCACCGCCCGCACCGCGGGCGCTTAGCTAGTAAATTATTACAGAGAGAGAGCATGTCCGGAACCCC